CTAATTCAATTTTCTGTCAATGATAAGTTCTTTCAGTAGTTTTTAAGTTTTGATCAATTAATTTCGATCAAGTTTTACTCTAACAATCCTAATAAATATTATCTATCACAATTATTTCTCATAGTCGATCGAGCACTTCGTATCTTAAAGTCGAATATGAAATTTTGATCTAGAAAATAATCGTAAATCATACACTGTCGAAAATATGAAGTCAAATCATAGAATGGCATTAGTCAACTGGTTACGGCCACAACTTTCGTTTTCGCGAAATACCTCTATGAACTGACTGATCAAGAAATATCGAAAGGAGAATCATTTATATTTTTATGTACATATCAAACCGTTCACTTTCTGCATGTTGCAAAAGACTCTGTGATATCTTTTATGAAACTTATTAAAGTGAAAACATCCAATCTAAAAAATGGAGATTTGATTTTTGAACATACAATTGCTAACGCTAGAAAATATCAGAACCACAAAAAAATACAAGAATATGGCATGCGGTTGATTGTTTCATTCATCTTTAGTCATACAATGTAAACTATTATATACGTATGTTGCATGTCAAGCATGCCTATATAATTTTATTCATAAAATTTATAATCACAAGCATTTAGTGTTCGACATTAAGTTGATAAGTCTAGAAAGAAATCACAGGATGAATTTTTCTCTTAATTTTTCTCTCTCATTATTTATGTTCAATCGCAAACTAAACAATGAACGAAGTACATGAATTAGAAAATGAGAAGAAAGTTTTGATTAATTGTGGAAGAACATGTCATCGTAGTCACCTAAAATATAAATTACAATAATTAGTCGATTTTTCTTTTCTTTAGATTCACTGTAGTCGATCAGTTCTGCATCCTCCTCAATGCTTACGTTTTGAAGATTGATCTTCTGATGGAGAATATCTATAGATAAAAACAAAAAGATGAAGAAAATACGTCAAATAATAAAGAACCTCCGATGCCATCAAAATCATGCACAAACCGATAACCTTGTTGACTCTTATCCGTCACAATTTCAAGTGTGGCGCCTAATACAAAAGTTGAATGTCAGATTAATCATTCATTATCTCTTACCGAATTTCTTATGATTCTTGACAAACCATTCGAGTAATGGCATTTCTTCGACATGTACCCAATCGAAATCTGTATATTTTTCTTCATCAAGACATGAACTTGTCATTTTCATTTCTTGCATTTGACTATGACGTAGAAAATAATGATTTACATCGAAATTTTCCCATACAATCAATGTTTTTATAGACCCCATTTCCAGTGCTTTGAGTGTATCATTTACACCAAAACAATAATAATTGCCGTCTTTCGATACTTTGTTGAAATATCGAGCTAAGCAAACGAAAAACAACACAACAAGTGAAGTTCAATTCCGTGTGACGAATCAAACTTACCAAGAACTTTTTTCTCGTGTATGAATTTGATATTTTTAAGAGTCTCAATAATCAAATCAATTGCTTGATTAAAACCATTTTCACCATCGTCAAAAATAACCACCCGTTGGAGAATTTTTTCTTGAAGACACTACAAAACACCTCCTTTGCTAATAATCTTTATTAGAAAGAAAGAACAACTAACAGAATCGAACACATCCTGTTGAAGCTCATTTATGAAAGATTCTTCGGTGGCAAGAATTATACCCTTCACATTGACTTAGTCATCCGTAATAAAACATTGTCGAGCCGCTTCTGATATTTTTTGTACATATTTCTGCTGTTTTTCTCTTTGAAGTCGAATATATCGAACTGTCCGTGAACCACCAGACCCACACTTTTTTGGTAAGTCAGCCGAAAATTTTGTAATTATATCTCGAGTGTTGCCGTGCAATACTCCAAACAATGCTTCATTCTTACGCAGAATATTAAAGCCAAATCGAGAATCATTGGTCTGTAATGACTGTAAAACCTACAAAAAAAGTTATAAGTATTACAGAACATCATCAGTTCCCACAGTTCTTGCCATCTACACCTTATGATGTTTTTCAGTATTTATGTATCATCTCACTATAAAATGTTTGTTCTTTGTCAAGTAATTTCCCAGATATTTTATGCAAACTTGATATGATGGGAAAGGTGAAATATTTCAACAAAGTATAATTTTAAATCCTAGTAGCTTGCTTCTTTCATTAGGCTATCAAACCGGTGGATGCAAAAAGCGAAAGAAAAACTACTAGATCGCACCTGATATTCTGCCATCGCTTCAAGTGAGTTGGAATCCAGTTATAATTCTTACGGTTTCAATCTTTCAAACGTATATAACCATTGCTCATTGATAAAAAAAATAAATGTGTATTCAAACAAAAACTAACAACATAAATAGGCAATGTTGCGCAATTCTTCGGTTTTTATGATGCAATATTTCAAGGTTCAATGAATGTCGATTTTGAGTCTTGCGCAAGAATTGCGAGACTACTTTCTAGTGAAGACAGCATGTACATACCTATCAATTTTCCTGAATTTTTCTAAATATAATTGAATCAATATCATGACTCATAAATAATTTGTCATATCGATCGCAAGGGGTGCTCTTGCATGATCATATTTTACTGTAGTTACATACAATGCCATATGATTGATGAGACACTTCGACACAATCTCATTTAAAAAACTCACGTGAAAAACAACTGAGCAAGAGTGTGTGGGTGTGGATGATAATCTCTCTCTACTCTTTTTAAAATAATTACTCAGAAGTCAGGCCGTCGAGTTCATCTACGTTATATTTCTGCTACATTAGTATCTAATGTGCCATTAGCATATCACAATTCAAGATTTATCCGTGATCATTTTGGAATCAAGCGCACTTTTTTACAAAATTCGAGATCGTTTTTATTCACTCCATATGCATAACGACATTGAAAAACATGTGTTGTCATGTCTTAATTGTAAGAAAAATAATCATTCTCGTCATAAACCTGATGGATATCTACAATCAATTGAATCATCTCATGGAGTATTGGAATGCCTTTTGTATGAATTTTATGTGGGACGAGTGCCACGACCTCCTACTGGACATGCATACTTTATTGTTCTTACGGACATTTTTTCTAACTATGTTGTGACAAAAATCATCTCGTATAATACTGCAACAATAGCAGCGAAGTTTCGACTGTATGACGTGTTTATGATTTATGGAGTTCCACAAGAAATTATTACTGACAATGGTCACCATTTCACAGCTTCAGTGTATGAATCTTTGCTCAAGTTAATTGACCTAACTTAGTGGCACTTTCCAATCACTCATGCTCTAATTAGAACGAAGCGTTATCTCTAACAACGTTTTATTATAATGTCACTCGACATGCTACTACTGGTTATGTTCCGTTCGAATTAATGTTCGCTCAACAACCTTGCTTATTAGCTGGCCCTAGACGAACGTTTTTTTCATGCTTTTGACCTGCGCAGACCTCAAGATTTGTTCATAGCGCATGACTTTCTTTCCATAGACACGCGCTTGGACGCTTGCATGAGTTAAATGTATATGCCAAGTAATTCATGCGCTGAATCATGAAAATCGTACCAATGAGCATTGTTGGAATGATCAACTAGAATAAAATAGTAGCAGTATCCTTACCATTAAAAATGTTTGATGCAAATTACTGATGTAAATTTTTCTTTAGGAATGCCTATTAAAATGTATTTATTATTTAAATTGTATGTTTATTAGAAACCCGATCGTTTTAAAATGTGAGATTGAACAAGAAAAAAGAAAAGAAGGGTATGGATGGGTTGTGGGTCTGGATCTGGGTATTAGTGGAGAGAGAATCCGACACCCACACCGCTATTACATATTCCCAAAAAATTAACGTTCATCTGACTACTATAAATAAGGATGAAAATAAAAAATTTTATTTTTGTCTGCTTTAGAAAACGAGAAATCACAAATTAAATTACATCTATTGTTATGTACTATACTAACTAACTCTCCAATCATCTATTACTAATAATCTGATAATACAATATAATAAAAACATGTGGTTTAAATCTGATAAATTTTTTGTCTGAAGAAGAGATAGAATAAATCATGAACAATTGTACGATTACAAAAAGTAGAATAACTGTATATCGGTTGAAATAAACGTTCTGATCTTTTTCAGTTGCTGATAAATTTCTATCCGAAGTTTTCTTTGTCCTACTGATCACATGAATACAGATTGCTTTGAAATATGATTATTAATAGCACTAAACAAACATAAGTTGCCGCCAAGTACGAAAAATACATGTTGAACGACCTATACATGATATTTTGTTCTCACCTACCAACAGAACAAAGCAACATCAAAGCAAACTATTTTAATAACATTATATTGATGTATATGGAACAAATTTTTCGAGCTAGTTACTTTAAAAATCAATGACTAGAATATCTCAAAAATTTCAAATATCGAATACAAGTATTTCCATGGCCGTATTTAATTGGTATTTGGAGCGCTCAATTATGCATTTGAATTGATGGACATGAATTCTAACACTCACAATAATTAATTTTGAAAGTTTCTTCTAAGTGAATCTACGTGCTATCATTTACAAACTTTGTTGACTTTCCTTATTATTACCGTATATGTGCTTTGAAAATTACATATGGGTCGTAGAACATGTATTTTCTTCACTTGACTACAGCACGTATTTCTCTACCCAGAGGAAATCATCAGATACCTAGATCTGACAAGATTCTGCATCTGATCTTATATGATCTTGAAAGGTCAGAAAAAAGAATGTAGTCTCAGAAATCTGACATTAATTCGTACTATAAGATTCTTGAAAGATCTTACTGTATGGTAAGATACGACTATAAAATTATAGAAAGTCTTATGAAATAATAAGATCTTTCAAGGATTTTATGATACGAGGGTTCGAGTGTGAGTATGCGAAAAACCCACACCAACACCCATATTAATAATTGCTAAACTTATTACGAAAAACTAGTTGTCGGAAAAAATAATTTCGCAAATAAATTTCATCAAATGATCTCACATCTGCATAGATGTTATCAGATTCTAGTAATCTTTCAATATCAGTAGTACGAAGAAAATAAATAGATTTGATTTTGAGAAAAATTTTATTATTTATTTTTTGTTGAGTGGTGCATGAATGGAATATTATGTGATGTTGTTCTTGAAATGGGTTACGATTTTACATCATCGATTGAACATTGTCGAAATACATTAGCTCGTTTTGGTTTACAAGAATTCAAACCATCAACTATTGGATGCATACTTTCAGGTATGATTAAAGCCCATTCAGGCCTTAATGAAAATACATCGATTTATGTAAATAACACAAAGAATATTTAGCAGTTAAATAAAGCCCACGTCTTGAACTGTGATGCAGGCGGGGTAGTAGAAGTGAAAGGGGTGTGAATGTGATATAGGTGTGCTTTTGGAGAAGATTTGCAGCCACCCACACCCACATCCCGCCCACACCCCTTCTGTGAGGAAATTGACTTGCAAATAGTGTTTCCTTATTTTTTACTCTCTCTCACTCATTATCAATAGTTTCACTTTACCATATGCCGTTTTCAAATTAAGAAATTAAAAAAGCAAGGTGGTGCATTTATTATTAAATATAGTGATTGAAACAATACTTCAATGGAAAGTGAAAATTTTCCCAGACATAAAGGTTGGATTTCATATTAGCAGACAATTTTAAATTATAAATTTTATTTGATCTACACGGTGTGGGTGGGAGTGGGAACATTTGTAAGAGTTTCCCACACCCATATGCCAGACATCCATACACGCAGACGCTGATATCCACAATCACACCTGCGCCCCGTATTGGCTAACTTTTTGAAGGAAGGGTATTAGAAGCTAAAATTTTCAGATTAGTAGTTTTACACATTGATAGTTCGAATGAGCAAAACAAATCAAAAATTCATTTTTGTCGAATGTCTCCGGTCCTCAGTCTCTTCATGGGCTCTCTTTTAATGATCTACAAAAATGTTCTAATTGGTGATCTACACCCTCTCTACTGATTTTTTCATTGGTTCTCATAAGATGACCAATAAATGGCCATCATGGTAGTAGTTTTATGTATGCATTATTTGATGAGGTTACGAAATTTCGCCATGTCGATGTAGTTAAGTTGAACAAGTAGACTAAATTTTGTGATGGTAAAAATGAACTCTGTACAATTTTCTTGCTGTTTCTGTGTCCTTCTCCATTTTAACACGTGCTGCTAATTATTCCTAATCAAAAAGTAAATATCCTGCGGGAATACACGATACAATAATTAAATATGATATTTCTGGTTAGTGGTTCGTCTGAATAAAGACTTTAGCAAAATTGAAGTGTTCTATAAATGAAAACATTATATAAAGCATATATGAAACAAATAAATGGCATTCGAATTATATTTGGTTAATGTCTCTAGAAAGGTTCATTAAGATATGATTATTACCTATTCAAAATGGATATCGAATCCAAAGATTGATGATGATTAATAGATATTTGCATATTGAAACTTGCATACATTTCATCGAACTTTTAGAATAGAATGAATAATTGTACTCTTCTGCTTTTTTCAACTTAGTAGTCAGTTCTTTTAGATAAATGCCAATAAAAATTGTTGGCGGGGGACAAACTGATGTTGACAGATCTGCTCTGGATGTGGCTATTGAATTGAATTATAAGTATGGTGGATGGTGTCCTCGTGGTAGAAAGGCTGAAGATGGAATTATTGATCCTATTAAATATGCCAATCTAGAAGAAACATTGTCAAATAATTATCCACAGCGAACAGAATTCAATGTACGAGATTCAGATGGAACTCTAATTATTATCGTTGGAAGTAATGATACAATGGGTCGAGGTTCAAAATTGACAGTACATATGACGAAAAAATATGAAAAACCTTTATTGATAATCAATCTGAACCAAGAAGACAACGATGAAAATGAAACTAAAGTGATCGAATGGCTTTCCACGAACAAAATTAAGATATTAAACGTTGCTGGACCACGAGAAGAAACAACACCTGGAATATATAAACAAGCAGAACAATTTTAAGAAGTTTGTTGCAGAAAATAAAGTCTTAACTGAACAATAAGAAAATGAGATTTTCTTAAAAGGGTGTGGGTGTGAGGGTGTGGGTGTGGGTGTGGGTGCTGGTCTCTTGTTCTACACTCATCCACACCCATATCCTTTGCATCTACACAAAGCTTAATAACGGTGACAAAGTGAAGTCAAATGGAGATATATGTTACATTATTCATAAATAAAAGATTGCAAAATATTTACAGGTCGAACTGACGATGTTTAAGCGTTCTGAAGCTACATCTTATTGAAATGGTTTCAAAAAGAACGAGAACTTACAGGAACACTTTTTCATAGAAAAAAGTGCTAAAATGTTATTTTCATGCAACAGCAAGTAAAATGCTATATTCTCCCTGTTTTACATAAACTCTTGAACAATAGAATACAATGAATTGGAAGGGTGTGGGTGTGGGGAAGAATATGCTTTTGATTCACACTCACACTCACATCTATACCCACACACCCGCATTCACATCGCTTGAATAAAGTTTTGCTCCTTTTTCTACCAAACATTCTTCATCCACTCTGTTGGTTTGCGTTTACTGTTGATGTGAGAAGTCTTTCTCAATAGAATAAACATTCCACAAGAACTTGAAAAAAAAACAGAAAAAAGAACGCAAAGCTGAAGGGAGCGGAATAGAAAGTGTTGCCATGTTACAAAAGTAAAAGACAAATAATTTAAAAGAAAAAAAGCGAAGAAGGTGCGAGTCGCGAAAAATTTCAATCAGCAGCAACAATTTCGATATTATTCAGTCGTTCTGGTTTCAATTTTGTTCTATCGTGGTGAGTAAATGATTCGGATGATTGAAGAAAAAAGTGAAAGACATAGCTTTGAGAGCTCTATCTTCAATATTAGACTATTGCGAATTTTAAAGACGACTGAGACATATACAGCACTAAAACTCATCATTAGCTTCATGAAAGCTAATAAATTTTCATTAACGTACCCATGGAAAAAAAGATAAAAAAGAACGAACAAGAACGCGTTGTTGAAATAAAAAACTGCGTTCAGAAGAGACCAAAAGCGTCTTGTGAAAACGAATTCTTTTAGTAAAAAGGAATGCGTTCTGATATGTTAAGAACGTTTTGTTAGAAGAACAGTTCTTGAGTGGTAAATTGCGTTTCAAAAGAACGCTAAAAGCGTCTTCAGAACACGTTCTACAGGAACTCGTTTTCCACCTGAAGAACACGTTATTATTTTGAAGAAAAAATTAGTTTCTTTGCAAATCTATGATGGTCCTGAACGCGTTTCTTCGCTATTCGTATACTTTCTCAGACAACTGGCTCCTCCATTAGTGCACTTTCATTCACATCGCTTGAATAAAGTTTTGCTCCTTTTTCTACCAAACATTCTTCATCCACTCTGTTGGTTTGCGTTTACTGTTGATGTGAGAAGTNGCAACTATTTTGTCTACTCCCGTAGAATAGCTCAGACAAGATAGACTTGTACTTACAAAGTACGGAATATATCATTGAACTATACTTATGTATTTCTGAACAATTGAATTTTCTACTTGTACTAAACAAAGCTTGCGTATATTCTGATTACGAAATTTATACTAAGGGTGATCAATTTGCATTTACAAAAACATCGATATATCCAAAAATAAATTTTAAGAACTTGATGGTGTGGGAGTGGGAACATTTGTAAGAGTTTCCCACACCCATGTGCCAGACATCCATACACGCAGACGCTGATATCCACAATCACACCTGCGCCCCGTATTGGCTAACTTTTTGANAGCAATCTCAAACGACTTTCTCCTAATACTGATCCAAAGTGAACTCTTCCACATCCTTGTTATTCAGAGTGTCAGATTAAGAATCAGATCGTTTTCCTTGCCTTGTGAAAAAAAAACATTCCAAATCGTTTCAACACACATTCATGGAGTCATTGAAGCTCTTTAATCCAAGATCGAACGATTCAATGTCTCTCACTTTGCTAGTTCTTTATTTCCTTTAATCAGTTCATCGATTTCATCAACTAGTTTTCTTCCGATACTATACCAGATGAGATTGATTGTGCTGAGTGTTTGTGTGAAAATGAGTGCATGTCAATATGATAATTAAGCAGAATAAGAGAAGTTCACGTTTTTATTACGTAATGCACGAGCGAGATGTTGCACTCCTTCATCTCCGATTTCATTGTCATGAAGGTCGACTTCGATGAGTGTCTGCGTGAAAAAGAGTGTATCTCTATATCATGGGTAGAAAGGAAGGATAATACTCACTTTTTTATTAATTGATGCATCAGCGAGATATTGTGCTCCTTGAGGTCCGATTTCATTCCATGAGATATCGAGTTTGATGAGTGTCTATGTGAAAAAGGATGTATGTGTATATGATAGGTATGAGGAAGGGATGATGCTCACGTTGTTATTAATTAATGCACGAGAGAGATGTTGCGCTCCTTGATCTCCGATTTCATTGTGGTGGAGGTCGATTGTGGTGAGTGTCTGTGTAGAAGCGAGTGTATATGCACATGATAGGTAAGAAGAAAGGATGATGCTCACAGTGTTATTAGTTAGTGCATAAGCGAGATATTGTGCTCCTTGAGGTCCGATTTCATTCCATGAGATATCGAGTTTGATGAGTGTCTATGTGAAAAAGAATGTATGTGTATATGATAGGTATGAGGAAGGGATGATGCTCACGTTGTTATTAATTAATGCATGAGCGAGATGTTGCGCTCCTTGATGTCTGATTTCATTGCTATGGAGGTCCAGTTTGGTGAGTGTCTGTGTGAAAAAGAGTCTATGTCTATATCATGGGTAGAACGGAAGGATGATGCTCACGTTGTTATTAATTAATGCACGAGCGAGATGTTGCGCTCCTTGATCTGCGATTTTATTGTCGTGGAGGTCAAGTGTGGTGAGTGTCTGTGTGAAGAAGGGTGTATGTGTTTATGATGAATAAGAAGAAGAGATTATGTTCACAGTGTTATTAGTTAATGCAGTCACGTGATGTTGTGCTGCTTGTGGTCGGATGTGATTGTTAAAGAGATGGAGTGTGGTAAGTATCTGTGTGAAAAAGAGTGTGTGTTGATGGGATTAGTAAGAGGAAATGATGAAGTTAGTGCGGGTGAACTGTTTTTTTTTGTGCGAAAAATATGTGAGTAGCCAGGAGAAGAAATAAGCTATAGGATTGGATCCGATTTCATCGCATTGAAGCAATGGATATTAGAAGATGAAGAAGAATACCCCGCCTTTCGGCTACCTTGCGGTATAGGGTGCTGTCCGAAGACAGTTTCGAGAAGCCCG